TCACGACCAAGTAAATATTGTTTGAAATGTTTTACGAAAAACACAAGTGCTAACATTTCCTTGCGGGTTACACAGTAATTCCTTTCTGCTGTTGACAATGTTCGGCTACCATAAGCAATCACTTTTTCATTTCCATCCTGAATTTGAGATAGTACGGCTCCTATGGCATCGCTACTAGCGTCCGTATCCAGAATAAAGGTTCCTCCATTAACGTCTGGATAGCTAAGAATAGGCGAACTCACGAGCTTACTTTTTAACAAACAGAAAGCTTCATCACATTCTTCAGTCCACGACCACATCTTATTTTTGCTGGTAAGTTCATGCAGGCATCTCGCAATCTTTGCAAAGTCCTTAATAAATCGTCGATAGTAAGATACAAGGCCTAGGAAACTTCTGAGTTCACTGACATTTGTTGGCGTTTTCCAGTTCTTAACTGTATCAGTTTTACTGGGATCCGTTTTCACTCCGTTTTCTGAAATAACATGGCCTAAGAATGTCACTTCTTTTCTAAAGAATTTGCATTTCTTTGCCTTCAATTTCAAGTTAGCTGAATTCAAGCGATCAAACACTGAATTAAGATTTCTCAGGTGCTCATCGAATGTACGACTATATACGATGATATCGTCCAGGTAGAGAACGGTAATATGCCATTGTAATCCACTAAGTGCTTGCTCAATGACTCTCTGAAAAGTGGCGGGGGCATTACACAAACCGAAAGGCATGACATTGTATTGGTATAATCCGCCTCGAGGTGTTCCAAATGCAGTTTTCTCCTTATCACACTCGCGCATTGGAATCTGATGATAGGCCATATTTAAGTCTAATGATGTAAACCATTTCAATCCAGATAAAGCGTCTAAATCGTCAGCAATTCTGGGGATCGGATATGCGTCCTTAATTGTCTGGGCATTTAACCTTCGATAGTCAACACAAAGTCTCCAAGTTTTATCCTTCTTCTGAACTAAAACTAAAGGTGACGACCATGGACTTGTTGTTTTCTCTATTAATCCTTGATTCCTTAACTTTTCAATTTCCGCATCTAAAATGTCTCTTTTAAATATGGGAACTCTCCTCACTGGTTCTTTAAATGGGGTCTCATCACTCAAATCAATGCGATGTTCACCTAAATTCGCACGCTGTGCTTGCAGATTGGGGTCTGCAAATGCGTTTTGGTGATTTAATAAAAATGTCTTGAATTCACTTGCTTGTTCCGGGGACAGGTTTTCGCATCCTTCGCGAAACATATTACACAAAAACTCGGGAAGTTCAGCTGAACTATTTCCCACTGTTATATTACACACCTTCACATCATTGCTTTTTAAGGAGTCCAACACATCCCTAACTGGTGTTAATAATGCAATCTCTGTGTTCTTCTTAACACAAACTTCGCTGTCGCCTGGGTTAAACACACGCGCATAAATAACTCCATCTTCGGAATTCACTAACACATGCGCAATTGCGAGTCCATGGGTGTGGACAAACAATTTAAGAGGCACTAATATCCCTTCTTTGGATTTTGTACCGGAAATCACTCTTGATTTCATCACGGCTTCATACATCGGGGGAATCACTTCATCCTCCATTGAAACCACCAGGCAGCCTTGATTTTCATCATTTCTGTGCGCACAATTTATCATCATATGATTATTTCGATAGTCCCACTGACACTCAAACTTGGTCATAAAGTCCTGTCCAAGCAAGTTACTTTTGACTCCTCCCACAAATACACGAAAATATACACTTATTGGCCCCATAGTTAACAACATATTTGCAGTTCCAATAACTTTAAAAGTAGTTCCATCAGCTGTCTCAAACTTTTTCCGTGCACGCTGTAGTACAGGTCTCTCTTGAGGAAGTATACTGTAGTACATGTCCTCTGTAATGAAGGTATTTATCGCACCTGTGTCAATTTTCCACTCTAATGGCGTACCTTGCACTAACCCTTTTACAATCATCCCGGGTTTGCCCTCAACAATGACACTAGGCATTGCCGCCCCTGAGTTGAAATCTATATGCGCTTCATCTAATTTATTTTTCGTCTTAGAAAAATCAATGTGATGTTTCACATCTACTGTACTAGGCCTCTCATGTGCTCCCTTGACCGACGCATGGCCTACTGCCTCGGTCGGTTCCGGTTTAACTGTGGATTGACATTTTGTTGGATATGCTGGTTCTCATGAGTTCCGGTCCAGCCACTCTGTTTGGATCTATTGTCACGGTCTCCCTTTGGGCAATCTTGTATTAAATGCTGCGTGGAGTTGCATTTGAAACATTTCTTGATACCCTTGTTCAAATTAGCTGTTGATTTATCTTCCCATTTTCGCTTGTCTCCCTGAGCATTTCTAACATCATAAACTTGGGGTGGATATGTCTTTGGGTTTAACTTCCTGTTCTCTGTACAACGAATACACTCTTCCTGCATGGCTGCTGTGACTGCCTCGGCAAGAGTTTTAGGTCGGGTTTGTTTAACAGCAAGTCTAAAATCATCATTTCCACTACAGTTGTCCAAAAACGTTTTCATGGAACTTTCCGATACATATTCCCTATTGTTAGGATAAGCTCTCCTATACAAGTCCTCATTGGCTTGTCCGAAATCTCAGAATGTTTCGTTGTCCCTTTTCCGCCTTAATTTCGCCTCTGCGATATAACTGTCTTTCAATGCCGTGTGACCAAATCGTTCATTTAAAGCATTTTTCAGGGAATTGTAATCCTGTAAAACAGTCTCCGGAAGTCCATAAGCATAAGCTTCAGCTTGGTCTCTGAGCGTAGTTAATAGAATTCGTCTTGTACGTTGTTCTGTCCATTGGTTAAGGTTTGCGACATTCTCAAAATATCGTATAAATTCGCTCCAGATTGCAGTTCCATCTCCTTTAAAGGTGCGTTTAAGGGGTATGTTGACAAGAGAATTTCCAGCTGGCATTCCTGGCGATAAATAAGTTGAATATACCGGTGAAGGTGAGTGGGGACGGGTTCGTCGTCGTCTTGTGCTCGTCACAGGGGGTCTAGGTTGTTCAACGGCATCCTGAACTCTATTAGAGCAAAATTTCCAAATAACACTCAGCAATATAACACATGTCAGTGTTATCACAACAAGGAATTGAAATTCCCGGGTGAATTGTATTTCTAGGTGTGTCGGGAGCAAATGGTAAAATCCAGCAATCACTGATGCACAAAACACTACTAACAAAATCCAGAATGTTACAAATCCTTTCCATCCCCAATTGTTATCAATCTCATGAACACTTAATTCTGTTTCGGGCCGTACCGACGTTATCACATTCAAATCGACCTCCGGGGTGTCTGGTAAATCTGTATTTTCAAAGTCCGGTAATAAATTCCGGCGCACCGAGGGTGTTCTGGGCACCCTAGGTGTCTCGGGGGTTCTCACAGTATCCATTCCTATTTCCTGTCTTCCTGAATGAGTCCAGAATAAAGTAATCACAATCACAATATGGGTCACAACCACAAAATAAATAAATAAATCCAGCTTGGAAAAAGTTAATCCATGGCGTAAACGATTTAATAATTCACGGACTGCTCCTGAAATGCTCTTATCCTACATCCACCACAAAACGGACACTTGTAGAAATAGATTTTCCTACTGTTTTTACGAATCCAGTGACGATTGTCATCCTTGGTAAACATTACAAAGCAATTTGGACACTCTTTCCATTTACTAACGTCTATGCATCCAGAAAGTAAAAATCGTCCATCCTCCGTAATCGAGTATGTATTCACAAACTGCGGCATTTTTCACTCGAATAATCCATGTACACGGAAAATGAATAATCCAAATATCACAAGAAAACACATTTAAAACACTAATGGCGTTGAATAAAATCCACACAGAATAAAATCCATCGAATATATAATATCCACATGAACTAATTAAATCCAACCGGAATAGTTAAATCCCACTGAAATTGTTAAATCCCACCAAGCTGCCACCAGCTGTAACGTCGCCGTAGCGTTCAAAGAGCGATAACTCTTTATTTTCAATCCTCTGAATGAATTACGCAAAGTACGTTTAAAAGTTTATTTGCACTATCTACACATCATAATAAAATCACAATAACATCCAATAATCACACACATATAATCCCAGTATTAAAACAATAATATAATCCAATGTTCACATAAGTACAGATTCTGAGCAAGTGTTTTTTTCTGAGAACATCCCCTTATATATATCTTTAGGCCATTGCTCGCGAGGAGCAATGCGTGTTGGTCATTATATAATAGTTGACCATTGCTCGCGAGGAGCAATGGTACGTAAACAAAGACTACAGGTCATTTAAGACTATAGTCAATTTGGATGTAGCCAGAAATTATTAATAGACATCATGGACATAGAAAGTGTAATACTGTAGATTCCTTATTTTTCACGTGTAGTTATTATCGCAAGATGGCTCTTCAACGTCAAATGAGAGGAAATAATTATTCACGAATGGAGGTTGATCAAGAGAATTTACATGGATTTGAGCACCATGAAAATAATAAAAGAGAGTTATTTTATTTCATGAATGATACATATTGTGAAATTACGCAATAATTAATTAATTCCTCTCATATAATTAGAAATCTACAGTATAAACTTTAAAAAATATTCCAAACCAGGTGAATCTTTTGAGGAAAAACAAAATGATAAAAAATCAGAAAAATCACATATTGGGCTGATTTTAACAATTTTGCTTTTCCCCATAAAATTCACCTGAGCCCTGTTCAGCAGAGTGAGTGTTCAAAATTCCTTATACCTCCAATAGTAATTTTGGCGAGCATAATTTTGGCGAGCACTCGAGAACGTTCGCTCTGCTGAACAGGCTTGAACTGGCTTGCTATATTTTTCTGAAGATCATATAAAACTTTCAGCACCAAGCTAACATATTCTGAATTTTTTTTTAATCTGTAACCCAAGTGTGATTTGTCGATATTTTGTAATTTTTCCAAATTAAAATTGTTTGTATTATTTGTCCTTATATCATAACTGTTTTTTGTTTCAGATGTTGAGGACAAATAATAGACTAGCTCATCAATAGATTTTATCAGTATATCTCCAATGGCAGACTCTGAGCATGGAATAGATGATGTAATTGAAGGGATCAAGAACATGGGTATTTGATAGAATATATATATATTATTATATAAATAAGATTGCATATATTGTATATTCATTGATTTTCAGCTCACCGGAGCCGAAGGCTTAAGTGAGCTTTTATGATCAAAATTTGTCTGTCGTCGTCTTTGGTGTTGTCGTAACTTTCCACATTTTCATCATCTCAAGAACCACGTGGCTGATTATAAACAAACTTGCCACAAAGTATCCTGGTATTTAAATTTGTGCAAATGGAGGCCACACCCTCTTCCAAGGGGAGATAATTATGAATTATTGAAAAATTAATGACATTAAAAAAAAATCTTCTCAAGAACCATTGGGCCAGGAAAGATGAAACTAAGGTGGAAGCATTTTTAGGTTGTTTAGATTCAAGTTTGTTCAAATTATGACCCCAGGGGTAGAGTGGGGAACAATGGACGGTCAAAGTTTTACATAGGAATATACTGGAAAAATCTTTCAAAATCTTCTTCTCAAGAATAGCAAATTTTGCCATGATTGGTGATATTTATGTGAAAGCATTTTTCAGGTGGTGTAGATTGAAGTTTGTTCAAATAATGACCCCCAGGGGTAGGATGGGGCCACACAATGGTCCCTCAAAGTTTTACATAGGAATGTATAGGGGAAATCTTCAAAAGCAAAACAGTTTGCAATATAGTTTTTACGTCAAGTACGGTATTATGACGTAACAATGGAGATATTCATGCTTATCCATGGTAGTTCATGAAAATATGAACAAAATTCTAATTTGTAAGGAATGTTATAAACAAATAAATGGAAATGTAAATATTTTTAGCTACTGTAGATCACTATATTTTGGCGACACCTTATTCTTGCAAGATAGTCATTGACTCCTTATTAGCAAGACATAATTTTAACGAATTGTGGCTATTCCTGAATATAAACTTAAGGAATAGTATTATATGCGAGAATGAAGTTTTCGTGAGCTCACTGTTTCACGTAATTACGCGAAAATAATGTTCTCGCGAATAAAAAGTGATTTACAGTAACTGTTTTAAAGTTGAACATAGATTTTACTCTTCATTTGAAAAAAACATAAAAAATGATTCCAGAATGTATTAATTTTTATGCTTTTGCAACATTTTGCAGAAATGGCAGACAGGTTACCTGGTGATGTGGAAAGCTCCGCCATTAGTATCCTGAAGAGGGCGGTAGAATTAGAATCCAGTAAGCGCTATGATGAGGCGGCGACATGTTATCAGGAGGGCCTACAGTTACTGCTAGATGTTCATAAAGGTGGGGCTGGTTCTGTCTCAGGGTCAGTTGAGGACTTGTTCTTGTTCAGTTAACTAGAATGGTGAAATTAACGTGTTGTGAGTTCTTTATTTTATAAATCTAGGGAGTGGAAACTTTAAATATTTGATTATTGTCCACCATAATTTTTTTTCAAGACCTTTTTTACAGGGAAACTTGTATGGGGTTAAAAATGTTTTTTAATGCTTGATAAGTGATTTTTCTAGATTAGTAATGAAGAGCGTTTTGATAGAATTTGAAATATTTTTAGGAGAAACAGATGTGACAAAGAAAGGTAGACTTCGACAGAAAATAGAAGAGTACATGGGTAGGGCCGAGGAACTGAAGAAGTTTGTCAAGGAGGAAAAAACAGGTTCTCTTTTTAATTTTACAATCGTACTCAGTAGCATGGTTCATTTCATGCATGTATAAAACTGTGTAACTGAATTGAAACGGATATATGTTAACTTGCTGAAGGCTCAAGTAAGTTTTTCATATACCAGTTGTCTGTTGTCCATACATCTGTAAACTTTTCACATTTTCAACCTCTTCTCAGGAACCACCACTTCAAATTGCTAAAATGAAGGGCCAAGCCCCCTTTTAAGGGGAGATAATCCAGGGAGGACAAAAATAGTGGTGTCATAAAAAAATATTCTCAAGAACCACTGGACCAGCAATGCTGAAACTTATTTGTAAGCATCCTGGGGTAGTGTATATTCTTAATTGTTCGGATAATGACATCCAGGGGTAGAATGGGGGCCACAATAGGGAATTGAAGTTTTACATAGAAATATAGGAAAAAAACTTTAAAAATCTTCTTCTCCAGAACCATTGGGTCAGGAAAGCTGGAACTTATGTGGAAGCATATTGGGGCAGTTTAGATTCTAAATCATCCAAATTATGAGCCATAGGAGTAGGGTGGGGTCCCAATAGGTATTACAATGCATGGCCAAAGTTATTCAGGTAAGGAATGTGGCCCATGGGCCTTTTGTTTAGAATATCACCAATTGTCAAGCAATGTTGACTGTTGAGTGATTACATTTTTTAGGTCATCTGAGTAAACACAGGTGACATACAGTACAGGCAACGCGGATCCCGTATTAGACCGCGTCCCCTCCGCGGTGTATTAATCCTTTCCGCGTTACACCGTCGCGGGTTTTGATCGCGGTGCTACCTGAGACCGTGTTTACACCGCGGCGGGGCCAGCTACCGTTATTCTTCAGATAAGATGTTCTTACCTGTAAAGTATTGTCGATTTTTAATCGTGTCGCAATGAGGGGGGGGGATTATGAGCACATTGTTATTATAGATTTATACCATTACATGGATTCTTTAAAAATTCATTTTTTAAGTTTTATCAAATTGTTTAATAAAAAACATTTTTTTTTTGTACCAATAGTCACTCAAAATTAATTAATTCTCAAACACGTCTGTTAACAGTAATACATGTACAGTTTAGGATGAAATAAAGTCGAATGATTTATCGAATATATTAACTTAAAGTTTATTTTCAAAATCAATAATGCCACCCCAAATGATCTTCAAATTTCTAAAAAGGTATACTAGTAATTAAAATTTAAAGAATACCGTGATATCACTTCTCTTTATATGCACTGGTGTAATCAGGTGTTCACAATTAGCCCGTGCAGTTGCAGTTACATGTAGCTATGTGTTTATTTATCTGACCGTGAGATCATTTCAGTCATTTGGTTTCGTTTAGAAAACTACCGTTACTTCTGTATACATATCTGTTATAAATAATAGCATGAAAAACGATGATAGATAGTGATACATAATTACAATTAAATTTTAACAAAACACGCGTAAGTGTAGGAATACCGTTGTTCCATTATTATGCACTACACTGTAAGACTATGAACTAAATATCGACGATTTTTATGTTTTTTTTTTTTTTTGTGTTTTTTTTGGGGGGGGGGGGGGGGGGTTATTGTTAATAAAATAATCACAGGTCATTCTATTCAGAATATCAATAATATCATAGCTAGTATTTGAATGTATTTCTATTTTCTGCTCTTTTCGAAAATTACTAAAATCATGTCAATGAACATAAACAAATTTCAGATTTCTCCGGTTCAAATAAAACACAAACACAAATATGGGCCCTTAAAATATTTGAACACACAACACAGAAATTAACTTATTTTAATCAGCAAGTTGCCAAGCTTCAAGTTTTCAGATGTCTGTGTTACCGTTCGGTTTTCCTCAAGTTTGGTGTGGAGTGGAGCTTACTCGAAGCGGATGAGAAGCCCCGAGGGAACGACGCTGTCTAGTGTACATACTACCTATTAGATAGAATGTTCTATCGTTAAAATGATATTGTCCTACGGACCCGGTTTAACGATATAATTCTTTCCGTGTATTCGTAATGTAGCAGAAAGAAACACGGACGATAACTCGCATAGTGCATTTAATAGGAACAATCTAGAGAGTTCCGAATGTAAACACGGCAGGTAATTTGAATCGCGAGAAAAACGTTGAGAAAATTAATTGGATTTTCGTATTTATATGGATTATTTTTTGGGATAAAAGGCATAAGCAATCTCAAGAAGGTTTGTTTTGATTATTTTGGTAGTTATTCCCAGTGCAAATCATTTTATATTCCTCAAATTCGTTTCGGAGCGGATCCGCTCCGATTTGCTACATTGCAAGTATATGGGACGTATTCTAACTGTGGTGAGGGCCTGTACCGAGACACAGTTAGATTATTCTAACTAACTACCTATATACACAGGGATGTTACCTGAGTGTATTACCTGTATGTGTTTTCCTACGACATTGTAAAACGAAGCCGTTTTTTTTTTCATGTGTAGCTCATGCAGTCATGGATTGAAATGCATGAAATAAAGAATTCAATGTTTTTGTTGCAGACAGAATCCTTTTTAAATTTTTTGTTTCAAATAAATATTTTCAATAATTCGACAATTTTAATGTACTGTGTTTTTCTTAATCAAATTTTATAACAAAAATACATTTTTTTTACCACCAAAATATGTCGTTGTAATCTGGCGACAAAAAGGGAAGCAATTCAAATTACATGTCATGTACATATGCTAAATGAAAGAAGAAAGTGGATCATAAACAAGTCTCTCGATAAATAACAATAAAACTTAGACAAAATCCACAAATGGTCAATAAACTGATAAATCAGCGGTAGTTTTATTCGCTAGACTTAAGAAATTGATATACTGATCAAAAAGGAGGAAAAACGATCATGTACGTGCCTTAATATTGTGATATTTTTCTTCTCTCTCTCTCTATCTACTAACTGGTACAGATATAAACAGACACGAAATACCATAGTAATGGATCATTATTTGATTTAAGTAATATCCAATACTTCATTAATTTGTTTTAAAAGTTTGCTTTTTGTTTTTTACTTTTATTCTTTTTATACACTCCGTTTAAAAAAAAGCAACAATAATTTGACACAAATTCCAATGCTAATATCGCATCTGAAAATGATATCGATGAAATAATAATGAAACAATGAATCAATTGTGTTGTTGAATGGCTAGACAACGATGTGCACATCCAGCGAACGTTACCCAAGGTAAACTCTAAGACAGGTGTGAAACCCCCAGGGCATGTCGTTTCCTGCTCAGGCACTGCTAATCCCTATACACAGGAAATGATCGCGGCTAATACTTAATACACAAAGAAACAGAATTTGTCAAAGAAAACAAAAATATGTGAATTTTTGGATTGAATATTTATTAATATAAACTATAATTTCGTCTGTGAAGTTTATCATTACACCTGCACATCCTATCTTATCTATTGAACACGAAAATCGAGAAATATTAAAATAAAAAAGAAAGACATTGTTTTAGAAAGTAATACATGTTAATATGAAGGTGAAAAACGATATTTTGTCTTGATCTCTTGTATAAAGTTCATGTGCTCAAAGTTAACTCTCGCCATCGAATGCTTTTCAGTCATTTGACAATTTGAGAAAAATGCCTGCACATTTATATAAAAGAGGGAAATAAATTAAAGAAAAGTTTTCTTAATTTGGGAACAGAACATAAACGATGAGAAAAAAGAAGAAAAGAACTTTTTTCTTGATATCTTGGATAAAGAAAATTTAAGTTCACGTGCCCTCTCCATGTAACTGCAAATGCTCGTCATCTGATGTTTTCCGGTAACTTGACACTTTAAGAAAAAGCCTGCACATTTTATATACAATAAATCGAAATTAATAAATAAACAATATGAAGATGTACATTTTTAAAAAGATGTACATCTTTTTTTTTTCAAATGAATGCTGAAAATCGTTTATCGAAACTTAAACAGTCTGAGTTCAACATTTATTACAGTTTGCATATAATATGAAGATTTAAAAAAAAAAAAAATAATTAAAATTTCTAGTATTTAATTTTGTTTCTTGATAGATTCTTAGTAACAAAAAATAATTAACCATTGCAAAGACGTAACAATTTAATAAAATTTTCTATTCAATATTAAATATTGATATGTAATTTTAGAAACAAAAATAAACTCATTTTTTCTTAGTTTAAATTCTATTCATAGCAAAATTAATTAATAAACACATGGTTTTTTGTTTTGTTTGGTTTTTTTTTTTTTTTTTTGGTTACAGGGAAAATTTGCAAATTACAATTCGGGGAGATAACTCCCGTTTGTTTACGATACTAATTGTATCGTGCTTCGTGTGTTAACATTTGAACATTTTCAGCTTCTTCTCTGCAATCACTCAACCAATTTCAACCAATTTTGGCACAATGCATACATGTTAACTCTACCGATTTAGGCGGGAGTCTACCGCTTTTTCACTCCATTTCCCGCCTACCGATTTAATTCAGAAATCTACCGCTTTTCTACAAAAGTTGCGTCTAAAGCTAAAGTATTTTTGGTTCGCTTGGGTATCCATTTTTGAAGCCACTCTCATAAAATCTCATTAGATATCGCGTGATTTGACTCAGAAGCATACAAACGCTTTTTTTGTATCGATGTGTACATAGATTTCAAGCACGAATTTGACAACGACAACAGCACAAGATTACCAGTGATTACATTGGTTATGGTAAATTTAGTCAATATCATTGCCATGAAAAAGGAGGTGCAGCTTTTAATAATTAGAAAAAAAATGTCATCGTCTATAAAAGCACAGGGGCTCACAATTTTATCAATTTTAAAAGTCAATAGAAATCACTCGATTGACCAAGCCATGTGGCACATCTCTACTTTCGTTTTTGATCATCACGGGAAATCTGATTTTTATAACGAAAGTATAGGAATTTGTTTTAGATAAAGTTTAAACCATGTCATCATTTGTTTTGTTTAACAACTGAATGAACATTCAGAATTATTGCTTCTAGGCTATACTGGCAAAGATCACTCTTCAAAATGCTAAGTTTAACAGCCAATCCAAGCAAAATGATGAGCATGAAAAGTATTTGAATTTGTACAATTTATGTCAAACTTGAGGTGTTTCTGTCTTCTACTTTGCAGTTGATGTTTGAGATTAATTATTGTGGGTTTCATTTAAGGCTACATACATGTAAATATTACATGAAATATGTCAGTAATCCAAGCGTAAAACAATGCACGTGCAATGCTACCGCTTTTGAGGTCCGAATCTCCCTATTTTTCATCACAATAGATTAACATGTATGCACAAAGCATTTATGGGTGAAGGGGAACAAAAATTGTGAAATTCATGGTCCCTGCCCCCCTGGGGGCTGAGGGGTGGGGCCAAAACCACTAAAATTAATGCAATCTTTAAAAATCTGCTTTTTTACTCCAGGACATTAAGCAGTCAAACTGTTTGCATGATTGTAATCAGCATAATGAGTCCTCTACCAAAATTGTAAAATTCAGGCCCCAGGGCTAGGGTTCTAGTGCTAAGGCAGGGCTTAATAGATTACAGGGATTTATCTAGCTATTTTGTTTTACTACCGTTTTATATGTAAAGGGAAAAAATGAGAGCCGCAGGCTCGATGAGCGCCGGAGGCACGAGTATTCTAGGGCGGTCCGCCCCCGGGGTTCCCCCCCCTCCCCCCCGGAAAATTTTTAAATAAATGGAGCAAAATCCTGCATTCTTAGAGCTTCTGAGGGTCATTTGTAGACCTTTACAAAGGCCACAAAAACTTCACTTTTTAGACAAAATATTAACCAAAAAAAAAAAAGAAAAAAATTAAACCAGGTCAGGACTTTATTTAATTTTTTCTCTAAAATATCTATCACAAATCACTTCTCCTGTTTTTCAAATTTAACTACTGACATTGTTTTTGTTGTTACTCCATTCTTCTGATTCATAGTGATATTTATAAGCTATATCTTACTCATCTACACTTTTCTTTTTAACTCTGCAAAAGCATACGTATCTTTCGACATCATGGACTTGGCACATGTTTACCGATCAATATCAAATAAAAGCTTGAATAATCTATTCTTTCTTTTAAAAGCGTTTGAATGACTAGGATGGTAAATTAGGATATGCTGTTAAACTTCAATCGGACAAAAACGGAAAATTTCAGAACGATGTTTTATGGGGACGACCATTTGATTCTGAGGGGGGGGGGGGGGGGGGGGGGGGGGCTGGCAGATTTTGGAAATAAATAATCTGTCCTTGAAAATGTCGAAAATAAATAACCTGTCCTCCACTACAGAGAAAATAAATAATCTGACCTTGACTTCTGATAATTAAATATTGTAAAAATACCATTTTTATTTACGTGTAATTGAATCTCAAAAGTCTTCAATTCAAAATTTTTTTTGGCTCGCTTCGCTCACCATTTTAGAACAAAATAGTATTTAAAATCAGATTACCAGACTGGATACTTAACATGACAATGTGCACTTAGTAGGTGTGATGAATAACTTTAAATACAAACCAATTCTTATACACCACAAAAGATAAATTTTCTTGTTGAATAATTATACAAATGATAATAATTAATACAAAATATACACTGGCAAATTTAAGGGGGACGTACATGTGTACGACCCCAGGCCCTCCCTTAAAATAAAGTATGAAAAGTATGATACGAATAATAATAATAATGCCATACTTTGGGACAATACCAATATTTTTGTGCCTAGTTTTACTCTTAAAAAACACAAAAACCCAAGAGCTTCAGGGACCTTCGCCCCCTGGGCCCTTTTCATTCAAAGTATGATATGACTTAATAATGTCATACTTTGGTACACATCTAACCAATTCCTACAAAAGTTTTACTCTTGTACATATTGTAAAACCCAAGAGCTTAAGGTGGCTTTGCTCCCTGAACTTACTTCATTCAAAGTACGGTATGACCAGTATTAATTATGTCATACTTTGGTTCAACATAACCAATACTACTATAATAGTGCCTGATTTTACTCTTAAAATACACGAAACCTCAAGACAAGAGGTTAGCGGGGGGGGGGGGGGGGGTACACCACCAGGGCTTTGCCCAGGACCCAATGGGGCACTTTACGGCGGCCCCAGACCTCTTGCCTAAACAAAGTTATACCTGTCCCCTCCCCAAATCCTGTATTCGAATATGGTATATAAATGATTAGTCTTCTAGAATCAATTGATCAAGGTACGGTAAGACATAGAAGAAAATAACCCTTACAGAAATTTCTGATAAGTGACTTATAAGTGATTTATTCTTTTACTTATAAGTTGTTTATTCTTGACTTACACTTCACTGATACATTTAACTTGTAAGTGACTAATATGTTACTCATTAGGATTTTATATGCAAATGAGCTGCTTGACCTATAAGTGACTTATAAGCAAGTATTAGCCACTTATGCTTTATGCAAGTATAGTCACTTA